TTTTAGTTATTTACCAATGTGTTTTTCTGTATTATTTGCCTTTTTTAGTCATCCACTGTACAGCACTTTGGTCAGTTTATACTGTGTTTAAATGTGCTTTATAAATTAAATTTACTTACTTACCTACTTACACACTTCAAAGTCATCGGTATCTTTATTATCAGTACAATTGTCAAAGTCTAGAAGTAGATTCCTGCACCAGTCACCACATCTGAAGTACAACAAGTTACTTAAGTTAGAGTATGCTCTTATTTAGCTTGTGGGAAATAGTTTTTGAGTTACAGAATGCATAAGACAAGTAAAACTGTATTGAAGCATGTAAAGTAAATAAGATACAGTTTGGCATTTAGCTCATTAGTTTAAAAGAAAAATTCAACTAGGCCTCAGGATAACATTACCAGGTGGTTCTCACTTTGAAGCACACAGAGAGAAAGTCTGTCAGTCAGCTCTGACATTACTGCATGAAGCCCAAACAAAGAGCTCTGCATCTGAAAGTGACATCTGAGTAATAATAGAAACAATAAATAAACAATAAAATAAATGTTTTTGTCCCATAAACAATCAAGCAACTTGATACACACACCCGTGGTCTACACTTCATGGACACCAACATTGGAGTGTACAAGAGTTCAAGAAAGATTTTTATTGCGACTGTATTCAACAACACATTTAGAGTTACATCTTTAATCAGCTGCAAAAATAATAATTACGTATTTTACATCCACACATTTAAAAAAAAACATATCCAAATGTGCTGTCTTCAAAATAGTTTCACTGTACTAAATGTGTTTGTTTTTACTTCAAATTAAGAAAATTATTTTTTTAAATAATACTTTTACAAATACATAGGCTATAATTCAACCGGAAGCGCGTTAAGTACTCCGGTCAGCAGGTGGCGCCAAATTGACTCACAAAAGCGGAAGTGACAAAACACCCAACCTCCTGCACTCCTCCACGTGTGAGCGCAGAGCACATTGGCAGGTCCACAGCTCCGCGATGAAACGACCAAGTAAGTCACCACTGATAGCGATGTCCTGTTAATATATGAACTCATACTAAAAGCTCTCCGTGAGGTGGAACTGTTCGGTTAATCCGTCTGAATACATGTTTTAATCGCTTTGCCTGACACATTTTCGCATTAGCTTCGTTTTTAGCTTACTGTTCAGCCAACGCTAAACTTTATTTCTTATCTTTTGTCTTCAGAGTTAAAGAAAGCGAGTAAGCGGGTCTCATGCTCCAAACGTTACAAAATACAGAAAAAGGTAAGAGTCAGTCTTCACCACCAACCAATACTTTAAAACATAAAAGTTTACGTCTTTATGGCGTGAGGCCTTGTGAACGTGCTGCGCCAGTGTCTGACTCGTTTCACTGATTTTAATATCCACTAGAAATAAGAAGTGACATTCTGGTGTTGTGTGTTTAGGTCCGGGAGCACAACAGAAAGCTCAAAAAAGAGGCAAAGAAGAAAGGAGTGAGCAAACGAGTGAAGAAGGACCCCGGTGTCCCCAGCAGTGCTCCCTTCAAAGAGGAGGTCCTCAGAGAGGCAGAGCAGAGGAGGCTACAGGTTGGCAGTCATTTGTTCATCACAGCCACCTTGGATCAATGCAGTGTCACTTTTCAGATTAATCTGGTCCGTGTCTCCCAAAAGTGGCTTCAGACTGAAATGGTCTCTGTCCCGTTGTGAGTCTTTGGGGCTAAGAGCGTCTCAGCCGTAAGATGCTGTTGAGGAAACAGGGCTGGATGGTGTTTTTATGTGTTTTATATCTCACTAGATCACTGGTAATCCGATGTAATATGATGTTATAATGACATTTGTTGTCTCACAGATTGAAGAAGAAAAAGAGAAAAAAAGACAAGCTAAAAAAGAGGAGCGAGCCCAGAAGAGAAAAAAGGAGAAAGACACTGCGAGTAAAGAAACAGAACCCAAGGCCAAGAAGGCTCGGCAGGTAAAACATGAACACTGACGTCCATCAGTTCAGAGGTTTATCACTCTACTGTTGAATAGCTTTTAATATCTGGGGGGGGGTCTTGTTTCCACAGGATGAGGTTCAGAAGCATTCAGAGAAACAGACGACCACAGACAAAAGCTCCAGGCAATATCTTTGCTCTGAGTTAAACAAGGTAAAAACCACCCAATCCCAGTGAGTGTTTCACTGTAGAAAGGTCTTATCTGATAATCTCAACCGATCCCTCTCTGTTCTTTCAGGTAATCGATGCGTCAGATGTAGTGATAGAAGTCCTGGATGCTCGCGATCCGATGGGCTGCAGGTGTCCACAGCTGGAGGAGGCGGTGCTGCAGAGGGAAGGCAACAAGAAACTGCTTTTGGTTTTAAACAAAATAGGTAAATACACGTGAGACGCTGCATACTTAATTTATAGTACACACACTGATGAGCATGCTTGTGGTGTGTTGTGAATTTGAATGGGAGATTGGTTGTCTGGACTCTGATGTGTTTTGATCTTCTGTGTTGTAGATTTGGTCCCAAAAGAAAATGTGGAGAGGTGGATACAGTGTTTACAACTTGAGTTTCCAGTTGTGCCGTTCAAAGCGTCAACACAGATCAAGGACAAAACAGTGGTAGGAGGTTCATTTTACACACTAATAATGAAAAAGAAATGTTTATACCTGCATTTATTTTTGAGAACAAACTGCGGCTAATGTTTATACTTTGCTGTAGTATGGAGGACTGAGAAGGTTGAGCAGCTTGTGTTGTGCTGTTATAACTGGTTATAACCTCCAAGAGTAACAAACAAATCACACAAATTAAGAGGCTCTGTCTCGAGCAGAGCTGACGTGTGTTTGTAAACAAAATATTTTCCAGTATTTGCACGCTGTGTTGTTCAGACAGCGGGAGGGAGCCATCAGAAATGCAAACCAATAAACCAAATGTTTACTTCTGGATGGTATTTGAGTGTAATTTAATTTTGTCTTCATTCTTTCTTCATCAGCAAGCCAAGAAGAGCAGAATAGTGGCGTCCAATGAAGTGTTGGACAAATCCAGAGGCGCAGCCTGCTTTGGAAACAGCTGTCTTACTGAGCTTCTGACAAGTTTAGCTGCTAACAGAGAACAGAATGAAGCTTCACTCAGAGTGGGCGTAGTTGGTAAGCACTGCTATTTCTCCATATAAAGTGTTATCAGTCAGGATAGAGTTTTTGCAGCGAGGTGTTTTTTTCCTTTTTCTGGGCAGTATGTGTTTTGTGTGCTGCTAATGGGCCCTGGACACCTCATGTTTTTCCCAGTCGTCCAATCAGATGAACTGAGAGTGACGACAAAGTTTACAGCTGCGTGGAGGACAGTGGTGGCTGTTGCAGGAATCCCCTGTACCTGTACGATTTTACCCACCATAGTTACAATGATCTGCACAGAATACATCGGGCCAGGAGGAGTGCAGTACTTAAGAATTTGGGAAAGTTGTTTTCATTAGTTTCAACTACTAATAGTTAACTGGTAGCGTACGCAAACCTGGAAGCATGGTTTCTAAACCCAAAATATATTAAGTTACATTATTATAGGTTTCAATAAAAGGCATTGTGGACGTTCTGCAGCTCTGTGGTATAGAAATACAATATTGATTCTCCTTGTGTTCATTTTTTAAAATTTAAAGTACATGGACTGAATGTTCATATTTGGTGTTACCTCCTTTTACCCGCAGGTTTTCCTAATGTGGGCAAGAGCAGTCTCATAAACAGTATGAAGGGGATCCTTGCGTGCAACGCCGGTGTGAAGAGAGGCATCACAAAGTAAGTGACAAATAAGCATAAAAACGCTAGCTAAACACAATATATAAACACATTAAGTCCCTTGTATTTGTAGCTTATCCCCATAGTCAAATGTTGCCTGTTCCTACCCCTTAAGATCCATGCAGGAGGTGCACATCTTGAAGAACGTGAAGCTAATAGACAGTCCAGGAGTCATTGCGTCACCGTCCAACCCACCAGCCTCTTTGGCTCTGAGGAGCCTGCAGGTGGAGGAGGGCCGGGAGAGTGTGCTGGAGGCTGTCAGGACCCTGCTCAAACAGTGCGACAAGACCCAGGTACGAGGAGTTCCCATCACAGGAGACAATGTTTCAAGTAATGTGTTAACTGATTAGATTGATTTGGCTGTAGATTTTAAGTAATTTTACTCATTGCAGGTCACATGCTCTTATTGTTTCAGATCATGCTTCAGTATAATGTCCCTGACTTCAGTAACTCTCTGGAGTTTTTAACCTTGTTCGCCAAAAAGCGTGGATATCTGCAGAAGGGTGGAATCCCTAACACCGAACAGGCAGCTGCAGCGTTCCTTGCCGATTGGACAGGGTGAGTGTATTTTCCTAAAGCATCGGGAAGGGCGGGCAGCTGTAGCGCATCAGTGTGGAAATGAGGACAAAAACGCAATTCTGGATTTCTTTATGAAGACTTCTAATCCAACTCTGATCCAAACACTATGCCAGGCAAATATGTGAAGTAGAGTAAGGGAGTGTTGTCTTTCTCGATCTCACAGAAGTTTCTCTGGTTTGTTGTCTCCTCAGAGCCAAGCTGAGCTACCACTGTAAAGCACAGGAGAACCACAGCCTCCCTGCGTACATGTCTGATACTGTGGTCGCAGAGATGCAGAACGGGTGGGATCTAAACCAACTGATAAGAGGCAATGAGGAAACCCTGAACGGTACTGGTTATGTCTTATCCTTTAGAGAGCTGCCTTTCTTCTTCACACGGGGTGTAATGAACAACATGGCCTCTTGGGGCCACTAGTGGGCTTTTAGAATCTGGACTTGTCCAATGAACTGTTCTGTCTGTTGAGAGTAACTTTTGCTTAATTTTTGTTTTTTAGGTGTCAAATTTCCAAACCAGGCCAGCAGTATAACCTTTATCTCTAAAGGTCCGACTGCAGGCCTGCTGAGCGTTAGCGACATCTCTGAAGAAAAACCTGGTGCTGCAGCCACAGAGACGGAAGCAGAGCACAACGACGAGAATAATGAGGTAACTTAAAGATGTCATTTTAATTGGATTTTCGGAAAACAGCCAGACAATACAGCTGCTTCAAATGATGCTGGCAGTCTGGTCTCCTGGACATGAGGACAAAAATTCAAGTCTTGATTTGTTTATGAAGACTTCTAATCCAACTCTGATCCTGCTCACTAGACCTTTTTTATTGTGTATCTTGAGGATTGTTGGACTTCACATTTAATATCTGCTCTTCCTGCAGCCTGAACAAACTGCTGAGGACACAAATGAAACAGGAGAACTGGAGAAACCACAGAGGGCAGCACTCAAAAGTAAGTTCTATTTACTAATATTTTTTATTACTAATATATATATATATACCTATTGGGCTTTATTTTTACATCTCGCCTTGTCTTCCAGAAAAACCAGGCCATGTGCAGTTCCAGTCTGTCCCCATTGACATCAGCCTCTCTGCAGGTGACGCCTATGACTTCAACACAGATTTTAAATGAGCTTTGCCTTCAGTTTCTGATCCGGTGCCTGTGCTCACGTGGACATGCGGGATTGTTGATTCAGAATCACAGTTTGAACGGCACTGCTCACCAGTTAACTGGTTTCAGACTAGTTGTTGGTGTTCTTGCTGTTACTTCAAACTTTGAATTTAGAAGACCGTGGGGCAGTTTCCAGACAAAGGACTAAGCTTTATCCTAGACTACATTTTTCAGTTGATGACTCAATTGAATTGTGTATGTAGGATGAATCCCTGCCCGGGAAATGGACTTTATTAAGTGGTTATGTGTGTATATATATCCACTGACTTCTCCTCCAGATGTTGCCAGTGAAAGATCCCCTCTTTTAAGTGTCTAGAGGTCATTTGTAATATTGTGTGTTTATGCAAAATGCTGTATATAGACAATTCACTATAAATGTAATAAACCCTCTACAGCCTAAATCTTGTTTTGTTTTCTTACTGTATTTTTACAAAATCACAAATTTACATAACTGCAGCAGTTTCACTAGATAGAGAGAGAGAGAGAGAGATAGATATAGATATAGATAGTATACAAACATATAAAATACAAATAAAGTGAAATAAAACCAGGGGAAGCTTGTATGTTATTACAAAGAGAGAGGGGACCATAC